GTTAAATATTACTTGATGAAATTTTAGTAAACCTCTCAGTAATTTATAGATTAAGCCAATGAAAAATTAGTAAAGTTATGAAAGATTTAAATAACATAATTAACAAGCTAAAGTAGCAGACATATATAGAAAACAGAGCCCTGCAATTGGTGGAGATCCATTCTTCTCTAACTCATATGGATCATTTATAAAAATGGACTATATTCTGGAACATAGAGAAAGAATTCAAAGAACAACCTATAGATCATTTTTTTAGGACAATTATGTTAGAAATCAATGATGAAGTAAATCTATGTTTTGATTTCTTGATTGAACCCAGGGCTCTGCACATGTTGAGCAAGCACTCTATCATGGAGCTACTTCTGCAGCCTTTTTTATTTTATTTATTTATTTTTGCAGTACTGGGGATTGAACTCAGGGCCTTGTGCTTGCGAGGCAGGCACAGCGCCACTGAGCTAAATCCCCAGCCACTTATTTATTTATTTTTAAAGACAAGATCTCGCAAAGTTGTCTGGTATGGCCTCAGACTTGTGATCCATCTGTTTCAATCTGGAGAGCTGCTGGGATTACAGTCATGTGCCACTCTACCCAGCTTGAAAAAATTTTTTTAAAAAGAACTGTAGTTGAAGTGTTTGAGTTTCTTTGTGGCTGCCCACAATAAACTGATTCTTCTGGAAAGCAAAAACCCAAAGCTCCGCAGCCCAGCCTGACTGACTGCATTGCACTGTGGACAGCAGGGCAGAATCTGTTAAGGTTTCCTGATTGGATGCTGAGCTAGTGAAGTACAAGGGTCAAGTCAAAAAATGAGAGAGGGACCTACAAAGCACTTGGCAAGCAGAAACTGTGAGTTTTAAAGCAAAAGCGGATGTGTGAGCAGCAGAGGGACAACCTCACCCAACAGTCCTTTAACATGGAACAAATAAATTATTTCATCTAGTCATTGAAAGACATCGAGACCACGGTGGATGCTATGAAACTGGAAGTAAAGGAAATGAAGAAGGATAAAAGCAGGCAAAAATCTACCAGACTGAGTATTAACATGACCAACCAGAGTATATGATGGAAGATGCAAAGGAAATTCAAGAAGCACTGTGTCCATTATGGACCTCCAGGATTTGATGACGATGACCTAGAAGCAGAGTTGGATGCCCTGGGTGAGAGCTCCTGGCTAATGAAGGTAGTTCTTACTTGACACAGCATCTGGACCTGCAATACTGGAAGGTGTTCCCACTGACTCTAAAGACAAGGATGGAGTCCTGGTGGATGAATTCAGATTGCCACAGATCCCTGCTTCATACCAGCACGATTGAGGTACATCATGTAAAATAAGCATAAATTCTGAGTCCAGGAAATATTTCCAAATTTGCCACAAGAGATTTAGATTTCTTTTCTTTTCTGTTTTCTTTTTTTGAAGGAAAGGTTAATTACACTGCTCCCTGCACTCCCTGCCAAGAAACTCATTGCTTTGGGGAAGATTTTTTTGTATTAAAATGTGATTCTTTTTCTCTTATGGAAGACTAACTTAAAAGAATCCTTGTCTTTGTATGACTTGTTTTCATTCATTAAAAATTGAAATAAAACCAAGGGAATGAGAATTTTTAGTAAGCTCTATGACAGTATGTTAAAATTTGGGTCTAGATTTCCTTCAAAGCCTTGCTCATAGGTGGCTTTTTCAGAAGTGGCTGAATCTAGAGTGTGTGATACTGGGATTAAGGGGATGCGATTACTAAACCAGTACACTGATTGGTTTGGCTCTGCCCTAATCCTGGTAGTCTGGATAAAATAAAAGCGGCAGAAAGATGCTGTTAAGTTTCCCTTGTTGCTTTTGCTGTCTTCTGCTCCCATGAACTGTTGCCCCTCTGCCATGCCACCCTGCCTTGGAGCCAGCTGATTATGGACTGAAAGTTCTATAAACTGTGAGTGAAATAAACCTTTCCCCTTTTAACTTTGGGTGTCAGGTATTTTGTCTCAGCAACAAGAAAAGTAACTAAAGGGGAGCTAAATAAACCTTTCCTCTCTTTACTTTGGGTGTCAGGTATTTTGTCTCAGCAACAAGAAAAGTAACTAATACACAGTATAACTCTACAGTCTCAGTATGACCTTGCTAAATTGACAATATAAAGATGAGATTTTTGAGATGGTTCATATTATGTTTCAAGACCACTTTCTATTGTGGTATTATTGTTTGCTTAATGATGGCCTTTTGGTAGGATTTGTGGTGTCTTGTGAGCAACTTGTTACTATGGCCAGTATTGGAATGGAATTGTCACTACTGTATTATGAGTGGATATTTTTATTCTATATTTTTCTCAGCCTGACGTGATCAATGAGTATTTCTTATATTTAATGTATAGACATTTATTTATACTCAATAAATATTTTTCAAAAGAAAGTTCTATAGTTCATTGGTCAAAAATGAAATCATATTGATAATGAGAAAAATTTGACTTAAGAGTAATAGAGAATGTGTAGTTATGTAGATGAGATGATGGGTATGTTAATTAGCTTGATTTAATCATCCTACAATGTTTCTATATATCAAAACATCACACTGTACCCCACAAATATATACAACTTTTATTTGTTAATTAAAATCTTATAAAAACAAAAAGAGGACGTATGGGAAACTTACAGTTTTAAATACTTGTACTACAGAAAAAGAAATTTAAAAATTATTGATGCTTCCAGCACTCCAGGAGACTGAGGCAGGAGGATCACAAGTTTGAGCCCAGCCTGGGTGACTTAGTGAGACCATCTCAAAATAAAAAATAAAAAGAACTGAGTAGTTCAATGAGAAGGTCCTCAGTTAAATCCCCAGTACCTAACACACACACACACACACACACACACGCACACATACACGGTCTATTCCAATCTCTTTAGACATCGGAAGGATAGTAGAATAAACAGAATTAAAAAGAGAAAATAATATAGCTGGGTATGGTGGTGCATTCTTGTACTCCTAGTACTTGAGAGGCTGAGGCAGGAAGATTGCTGAGAGTTTGAGGCAAGGCTGGGCTACACAGTGAGACATTATCTCAAAAAAAGATAAGAGAATAAGTAATACAATTAAGATATAATAAAGAGAATCAAGAAGTCAAAATTTGACTCTTGAAAGTACTAGTAAATCTATGAAATAGATGGCAAGGTTTATATCAAAAAGAAAAAGGCCACAGATAAATAAAGAATAAAAAAGAGAACATAAATACAGATACAGTAGAGATTAAAAAGATAAGAGAAAATGTCAAACAACTTTATGCTTTAAAAACAAAGTGCACAAATTCATGGAAAAATGTCTCCCCTAGTTGACTTAAGACAAATTTAAAAACCTGAATTCTCCTATAACCATTAAAGAAGTTGAATTGGGAGTTGCATATTTTTTCAGAAAGGAAACAGTACACCAGAGAGTTTTTCTGTTGAGTCCCAGAAAACATATAAGGAAGCTGTATCAGTCTTAAAAAAATTATTTCAAACATTCCCTCATGGATTATATAAGGGTGGTGCAATCTTGATAACAGAACCAAGCAAACAAGAGGAAAAGGAAAATTGCAGACCAATCTCATTCATGAAAATAGATGTAAAAGTTCTAAACAGCTCTTATAAATCCAGCGTTGTATAAAAATGCAGTTATTAATTTGAATCTATTCCATGAGTGCAAAGATTATTCAGTATTATATTTAAATATTTTTCAGGATATAATAGATTAAAATATAACCCATAGAGCTGGGCACGGTGGCACATGGCTGTAATCCCAGCACTTGGGAGGCTGAGGCAGGAAGAAGTTCAAGGCCAGCTTGGGCTACAGAATGAGTTCAGGGCCAGCTTGAACTACAAGGGGGGACGCTGCCTCAAAAAACCAAAACAAAAAAGTGAACCCACAAATGAAAAAGTTAAGAAATAGACTTATATTAAAATTAATATCTCCATATCAGAAGATATCTTAATCAAAGTTGAATACAAGAGCCAACGAGAGAAATTTGCAATACATATAACTGACCAAAAATTTAAATTCCTTTTAAAAATTAGTAAGTAAAAAGCATGCAACCCAATATAAAAATGGGCTAATGACATGACCAGGCATCACACAGAGGAGAGAATTATGAAGAGGTATTCAACCCCACTAGTAATCAGAGAGATGAGGTACAACAATTTTATATTAATGTTAGTGGCAAAAAAATGTATGACACTGTCAAGGGTTACTGATAGTAAACTCTTTTTTTTTTTAAAGATAATAACCCGAATTTATTATTAGATTTCATTAGAAACATCAAAGGGGAATGAAATGTTGTAAATAAAAAAGTAGGCAAAAAATAGCGATATAAAGCAAATAAACAGACGTGCAAGTGTGTCTCCTGGAAGAAGAATTCATGATTGAAAAGACACCTGCCTGAGTGATGCTGGTGGGAACTGCTCAGTGGTCAACCCTGGGAGCTGAATGCATGGTCATCAGCAGAGGATGCCTGACAGCTGTGCTCCACCCCCATGACAGTGCCACCATTGAGGAGGAGCAGTGCGCAGGGATCCCAGGCTGGTGTTACTGCTTGAAGAAGACCTGCCGGAAACATTTATAAGGAATGGTTCCAGCTCCACCCTCTCTACTCCACCAGGGACAAAAAGCATGTGGTCAGCTTGGGATGAGAAGACAGGAGCGGATAGCAGCGCCACAAGAGATGTTCCCAAGTGATGCGTGAAAGTGTTCTGCACCTCCGCTGGGTGGGAGGTTTCACAAAGACTGCTGTCCCCTCACACTGTCTCTGCACTGCATACTGCACTTTGTGTTG